TGAGATGAGTTCCTGTAGCTTTAAGGAACCCGAGTGGGAATTAGTGTCTTGAATTATAATACAGAGAGGATGCAGAGGAGTAATCTGCGAGGATAAGTTCATGTATGAATTACATTTTCCATTCATGGTACACAGACGGCCCGGAAAGACATTTAGGTGCCAGTAGAAAGGAATAGTATAATATTTACTTGCCGTAAATTGGTGGGTTAAACAAGAAGAAATATTCCAAAGGTAATCTGAGTCAAGGTAAGGAGAATGGAGATCAGCGGTTTAAACAGTCCAGATTCGGTACACGTATTCAGTAGATTAGCGTGATAGTTTGTAGCCGGTCAAAAGACAGAAAGCTTCAAAATAATCAAGCACTTTGAGGAAGCCGCGTCAGAGAAGAGGGTGTGTCATTGGTCCGTGAACCCGGAAGTGTTGCATTTCGGTAAGGCCGCTAGTTAAGTTCTGACAACCACTTAGAGTTGACCATAGAATATCTATCAAGGATGAAATTTCACAAATTGACTTATTGCAAAGGTGGCATCCTATCACAGTACCACGCTTCTATTCACTGAGCTCTTCAGAATGACCCCTTTTAAAACAAATGTTTAAATGCAGAATGCATGGCTAGGAATTGGCCCTGTATTTGGTTGCACCTCCCAACGTCACATGACTGCATATGACCAATCAGTGCCCTTCACTCAAATTACATATTTTTTAGTACCCTGTCCTAGTTTCCCTTCCAGGTTATATGAAAGCATGTTCTTATTACTGTTTTTTCGAATTATTTGACCTTGGCTTGTTGATTGACTGTTCTCCATTCTGTAGCCTGAATCTTGGCTTATCTTATCAATTTTCCTACTGTCTCCATGAACTCGTTCTGTCTAATACTATTCTATATAACATTAAGTGTGGCCACTCTAAGGCCCGGTAACACGTTTCAGTTTTTAATATATTTGTATCTGTTCACTTAAGTACTGCATGTTAGAAATAGTTAAAGGAACACTATGGGGTAAGGAACACAAACATGTATTCCTGACCATATAATATTAAAAACACCATCTAGCCCACTGCCCCCCCGTGCCTTCCATAAATATAGTTTAATCTTACCTTTACTCCAGTCTGCTGCTGCTGGCTCTGTCCCTGATCTACCTGCTTGGCTGACATCATCAGAACTGTTGCTCAATACCAATCACAATGATTTCACATAGCAAAGCGTTGGTTTCACTGAGCTTGTCAAGGAGACAGATCAGAGGCAGAGTCAACACAAGCTAAATAGCCCTGGCCAATCAACATCTCCTCATAGAGATGAATTGAATCAATGTATGTCTATATTAATAGCCATCTAAGGAGTGGCCAGTGGTGTTATCACTAGGCTGTAATGTAAATGATGCATTTACTCTGAAAAGACAGTGTTTACAGCAAAAAGCCTGCAGGGAATGATTCTACTCACCAGAACAAATGCAATACGCTGTAGTTATTCTGGTGATTACACTGTTCCTTAAATCCTGAAAAAGAAAATGCTGATTGCCACACATGTGCAATAGTCTGACAGTGCTTTACTATGGAAAAACATCAGATTGGCTGAGATAATCAAGAGTGATGGGGAAAAAAGATTAGTAAAATCATATTCTCACTGCTCTGACAGGGGGCCATAGTCTAGCCACACCAGCACTATAGTGTCAGGAATACAAACATGCCTGTAGTAGTGTTCCTTTAGTCAGGGGTAGGCAACCTTTTAGTGATACCGTGCCAAAACAAAATCTTGAAGACTCTTGGCGTGCCGTTCCTTTTTTTTATATTGAGGTATGTATGTTGTTGTATTCTGCTTGTGTTATTTATAGGTGCTGCAGTTACTCTGTAGTATTGCATGTGTGTGTATGTGGGCTGTTATTGTGTATATATTCATGAGTAGTTTGCGGTATTGTGCATGATACGTATGGCTGTGGGCTGTGTATGGGGGCTGACTATGGAGTTGTGTGTGTGGATAATATGTCACATTGTGCATTTAACTGTGTCCCCTCTGATGAGCCTAAAAGGTGAAACACGTGACAGGGGTCTGAGAGTCAGCTGATGATCCACCAGGACATGCCTGAGATTCACTAAACAACATTGTGGAAACACTGGTATTTCACCTCCGACAGCTTTACAGTGATACTAGCCGCCACCTTCCTGTAAGGTCCCCTCACAACCAGGTGCTGTTACAGGCTTTGCACGTTAGACCATATTCTCGAGGAGGCTAGCTATCCTGTTGTTTGGTGCAGTAGTGGGGAGGTTAATATGTCAGAAAAGCAGTGTAGGGTGAATTTTCCTGCTAAGGGGTTCCCTCGAAGGCTTATTAGGGACAGTTAATTGTGTATCTAACCATCTAGTCAACATACCCACCCTAGTTCTCAGGAAATACGCCCACAAAGTATCACATATTCTGACACAAGTTTTGTTGCGCTCGTGTTTGGCAACAGTATCTGCCATATACGAAGGCATTTATACAAAACAGTAGCTCCTGCCTTTTCATTCTCCTCTTCCATTACTACTACATTTGCTTACCAGAGAGTTGCGATATTCATTTGTAATTTATATTTTCTTTACACCTATTTACTCAGTGAATACTCCCCAGATCCCTTTACTATTTGATGTCAGACCTATTATGGTAATTCCATATCCAGTAACTGCATGTTCGATCTTGATCTTCTTTGATAAGCAGGCTGTGGTTTCATTTTTATCTTTATTTTTACTTTTATTTAGTTTAGTGTTTTTGAGGAGTATTCCTGCTTGGTTTGCCTAACACAATTTTTCTACAGGTGCCAATATCCCTGTTTATACACGGGTAGGAATTCACACATGTATGGTATTGGCATTTAGAATCGATCCACAATACCCTTATCCCCCCTTAACAGGCTCTGACATTATTTAGAAGACACTTCATTGTTATTTACATGTTTTCATTTTTCTTGTTTCTCTTTGGTATTTATTGTAGGTGTATTTCACCCCTTTTAAATGTAAAATGTATATCAGCAGTGTCTTTTACCATACATTGAACAATCCATTATCCACATTACTTTATTTGGTCTAGTAGTTTGGTGTACTCCTTGTTCTCTGGCATTTTTTAGACTTTTCTATCTAGGGGATACCCCTTCCCACCCTCCCCCCCAGTTGTAGTGCTGCTTGTGGTATTGCATGTGAGAGGCTGCTTGATGGGTTGTGTGTGTATATGTGACTTGTCAGTGGTGTTGTGTTTGTGGGTACTGTGTGAGTGTCTGTGTGTAGGCTGTTGGTATTATTTGTAGAAGGGGGAGACTTCTTCTGCAGCTCTGTGTATACCTAGCAGTGCGGGCTGCCCTACTCCAGTGCAGATTCCCGTTCACAAGTGCTGGGAAAAAGTGATCTAAGATCACTTCCTCTAAGTACTGCAATGTGTACATTGAGCATTATCCATCACCACATGCAATCTCAGCTCAGTTTGCTGATAGGCCAGAGCCTGTTTGGTTCTGTCAGCCTTGCGTGCTGTCCAAAGACACTTTGAGTGCCATAGTTTGGTGACCCCTGCTTTTATCTATAAACAAATATGATAACAAATAGCAAAAAGAAGGGATAATTTATGCAGAAAACCTCTGGAGGCATGGAAATATTATGAATACTAATTTTCATACTGTGGTAGAATTGTTATATTGATAAAGGGACAGGGGTCCCAAAACGTTTGTATTTCAGCCTGATTAACCCCTTAAGGACTGGACTGTTTTTGCGATGTTGTACATTTGCGACCAGGAATATTTTTACACTTTTCTGGTGTTTGTGTTTAGCTGTAATTTTCCGCTCTCTCATTTACTGTTCCCATACAGTTTTTTTCAGGACAAAAGGGGCTTTCTTTACATACCATTATTTATATAATCTCATGTATTTTAATTTTAAAAAAATAAAAAAATATGATGAAAAATTGAAAAAAATACATGTTTTTTGACTTTTACTTGAAAAATCTTTTACTCATCTACAAAAGCGAATGAAAAAAACAGCTAAATAGATTCAAAATTTTGTCCTGAGTCTAAAAATACCCAGTGTTTACATGCTTTTTTGCTTTTTTTTGCACGTTATAGGGCTATAGGTACAAGTAGGATATGGCGGTTTCAAAACAAACATTTTTAAAATGTATCAATAGTGACATTGTAACACTATTATCTGTCATAAATCTCTGGAAAACACTCCACATGTATATATTTTTTTTAAAGTAGACAACCCAGGGTATTCATCTAAGGATATTTTGACACTTTCTATGCAGCCATTTTACCACAAGTCTTTGCCAAACTTTGCATAGATAGTTGTTTTTTTTGTTTTTTTTCACATACATTGCAATTCAGGTATAAACTTACAGATCCTGTTATGTCTTGCTGCCAAAAAAACACACTAATATATGTTCAGCAATATCTCCCGAGTACAGTGATACCACTCATGCATAGGCTTGTCGGATTGTTTGGGGGCTAAATGGCCACATTTGGCAGGTGCGCATATCCATTTTTTAACTTGGAATTTTGACATGTAGTCAACCTGCGCACATGTCCTATTTGGGACATTTGTAAGGCCGGCCAATGTATTTTACCCCCACCAAACCATATATTTTTGGAAAGTAGACACCCTAGGGTATTTCAAATGGTGTTTTTTTTTTTTATTTTTTATTTTTTTTAATTTTATTTGTGCATAGAAAATTCACATCTGGCTTACAATGCCACAACAGCTAAGGTAAACATTTTTCAACATAGCATGACTGTAGTTAGGCATTAGTGGGTATAGCACAATTTTGTATATAATATGTCGCTTATCTAGGTGTTGTTCTATGTTGCTTAACAGGAAAGATGAATTACACTATTAGACAGAGCAGGATAAGATATGGTTAATGCTATAAGGTAAGGTGTTGCTATTGCAGAATATGATATTAGGAGGTAGATTGGCAGTTGCCTATACATATCTGCATGTTGGTTGTGTAGCTATCACTAGTGATTATGCTAAATATTTAGAAGCTTCAGGCTTTTAGTACCCCTATAGTTAGTAAATAGAGCTTCAGCTAACACTGCATACGGTTAAATTTGCAGGCTAAAACAACAAAGCAAAAATATGTTTATCGCAGATGTTATTATAATGCTTGCCCCCAGTCCGCTCAGCCGAAGCTCCCAGAGGATGAGGCAGCCCTTGGGCAACCGAAGTCCAGCATGTGTGAGCAGGTCGCTCCTCCAAGCCCCTCTGATGCGGTGTGTACCGGAGGTCTATCCTGACCGGTCGCCAGAACTGTAGTGTGTTCTGGTTCCGGCGTCCGGCACCGCCTAGTCCTCCTTCTGCGGGTTGATTGCCGACAGGAGCCCTCCCGGGCAACTCGAGATCCAGGTGAGAGGCAGTTGGTGTGGATGTTGTGCCGTGAATTTGGTGCGCAGATTGCGACGTCCATCTGTGTCTGCACCTCCGCGGTAACATACGTGGGACACACAGTAGAGGCCGCCTTCATGCCGTTGTATCCTATTCTCTTGATTCGCCTGTGTAGCTTTGTTTTGCGTGGTTGCGAGGTTTGGAGCCGATTTCGCCGTCTCTCCGTGCGGCATGTCCTGGATGTCTGAGCCGCCTTGAGCGTGAGATGGGAGCAGGTGTTCCCTGTACCGTCTGCGCACGTGGCGCCCGCCATTTTAGGTGTGGCGGTTGGGCTCCCCGGCCTCAGTTGCAGTGTCGCGGTCAGGGCCACAGGGTAAAGACCGGGATCACCCCCCCGGTCTTGAGGGGGGGGGGCGGAGCCGAATCCACGCCGGTCTGTACCCATGGCTGGCTTCCGTGGCACAGGATAGTGGGGCAGCAGCCGTCCGCCCCACTCACCGCAGGAGAAGGCCCCGGTTGGGGCAATGTGTTTTTCTCCCCCAGGGGACTGAAGCTCGGTGAGCCAGCCTCTCCCCGGGTCCAGCAGTCTCTCAGTTCTGGGTATCTGCTCAGGCGGGCTGATTTTAGGTTGGTGAGACATGAGTTTAGAGAGTAAATTTCGTTAAATTTCAGGAGCTGCTCAGGCTTGCAACCGTCCAGCTCAGCGGTCCGGCCCCGCCCCCTCCAAATGGTGGTTTTTTAAACACTTTCCATGCACTAATTCTACCACCAGACTTTGTCAAACATTTAGGTAGTCATTTTTTGTGTGTTTATTTTCACACACATTGTACTTTAGGCATGAATTAACAAATCGTGTTATGTGTCACTGCCAAACAACACGCCAATATGTGTTCAGCAGCATCTCCTGAGTACAGTGATACCACCCATGCATAGGCTTGTCGGATTGTTTGGGGGCTAAAAGGCCACATTTGGCAGGTGTGCATATCCATTTTTCAACTTGGAATTTTGACATGTAGTCAACCTGCGCACATGTCCTATTTGGGACATTTGTAAGGCCGGCCAATGTATTTTACCCCCACCAAACCATATATTTTTTGAAAGTAGACACCCTAGGGTATTTCAAATGGTGATTTTTTAACACTTTCCATGCACTAATTCTACCACCAGACTTTGTCAAACATTTAGGTAGTCATTTTTTGTGTGTTTTTTTTCACACACATTGTACTTTAGGCATGAATTAACAAATTGTGTTATGTGTCACTGCCAAACAACATGCCAATATGTGTTCAGCAACATCTCCTGAGTACAGTGATACCACCCATGCATAGGCTTGTCCGATTGTTTGGGGGCTAAAAGGCCACATTTGGCAGGTGCGCATATCCATTTTTCAACTTGGAATTTTGACATGTAGTCAACCTGCGCACATGTCCTATTTGGGACATTTGTAAGGCCGGCCAATGTATTTTACCCCCACGAAACCATATATTTTTGGAAAGTAGACACCCTAGGGTATTTCAAATGGTGGTTTTTTAACACTTTCCATGCACTAATTCTACCACCAGACTTTGTCAAACATTTAGGTAGTCATTTTTTTGTGTGTTTTTTTTCACACACATTGTACTTTAGGCATGAATTAACAAATCGTGTTATGTGTCACTGCCAAACAACACACCAATATGTGTTCAGCAACATCTCCTGAGTACAGTGATACCACCCATGCATAGGCTTGTCGGATTGTTTGGGGGCTAAAAGGCCACATTTGGCAGGTGCGCATATCCATTTTTCAACTTGGAATTTTGACATGTAGTCCAGCTGCGCACATGTCCTATTTGGGACATTTGTAAGGCCGGCCAATGTATTTTACCCCCACCAAACCATATATTTTTGGAAAGTAGACACCCTAGGGTATTTCAAATGGTGTTTTTTTAACACTTTCCATGCACTAATTCTACCACCAGACTTTGTCAAACATTTAGGTAGTCATTTTTTGTGTGGTTTTTTTCACACACATTGTACTTTAGGCATGAATTAACAAATCGTGTTATGTGTCATTGCCAAACAACACGCCAATATGTGTTCAGCAACATCTCCTGAGTACAGTGATACCACCCATGCATAGGCTTGTCGGATTGTTTGGGGGCTAAAAGGCCACATTTGGCAGGTGCACATATCCATTTTTCAACTTGGAATTTTGACATGTAGTAAACCAGCGCCCCTGTCCTATTTGGGCCAATGTATTTTACCCCCATCAAACCATATATTTTTGAAAAGTAGACAACTCAGGGTATTTTAAATGGTGGTAGTTTAATACTTTTCATGCAATATTTCTACCACCAGCCTTTGGCAAACTTTTGGGTAGTAATTTTCTTCATGTTTTTTTACACATACATTGTACTTTAGGCATGAATTAACAGATCCTGTTATGTATCACTGCCAAACAACACCCCAATATGTGTTCAGCAACATCTCCTGAGTACAGTGACATCACCCATGCATAGGTTTGCTGGGTTGTTTGGGGGCTAAAAGGCCACATTCAAGACTTGTACATATCAGTTTTTCAACTTGATATATAGGTATGCTTGGCCTATCTTCAGTTTGGCATATTTTTGCATCCCCTCGTTAATGTTAACATCATGAAAGTTTATATTTTTATAAAGTAGACATTCCAGAGTATTGTATATGAGGTGTTTTCACATCCTTCCCCCAACCATTGTGCTAAACAAATTTCAGAGAACGTGCATGGTGGTAATTTTTTAATTCTGCTTTTTATGCACACGTCATCTGGTTTTGGCCAGCCAGTTATATGTTACTACCATAAATCTTTTTTAACCAAATGTGCAGGTATCAAATGCACCTTTAGCAGCATTCTCTAAACTAACTCCTGCAAAAAGAATCTAATTGGAGATTTGGGGGGAAGGAAACTGACTAACTAAAATTTGCTGCTCTCAAAAGAAAAAAAAACAGTGCAAAGGGGTGTCTGTCCTTTTCCTTTTTTTATAACAGACCCAGCAACATTTCAGGGGATTTGTTTTTTTTTTTGCAGTTGGCAGTATCTTACAAATAAAATGTCTGGACTCCTTTGGCACCGTTGTTGGAACTTGACCATCTCCATAAATTATTGTGGAAATCAGCTTGAACTAAAATTGGAGAAAGGTGGTTCTTTCTGGATTCATTTTTTTTTTAAAGAGTAAAAATTAATTATGTGTTGCTACTTGCATCAGGTAGATAGCCACCTTTTTATACCAGGCTTTTGTCTTTCTTAAGATAAGATATGGCTGCATCAGCTGATCAGCCAAATCAACACCCTCCATGTGCCTGTTATAAGCCCTGATGCACACCGGTTTTGTCTGTACCCTGCCTCGGACAGTGACGTCTGACATGCCCTCGTTATGGATGGTTGTTAGCATGTGAACATCCTTCCTGTCCTTAAATTTTATTGCAAGCACTTTAGCTTTGTGCAGACCTTTACATTCACTTTTTTTATTTTTTTATTTGGCCTCTATAAAAGGTCTGGGGAAATCCTTGGCATATCTTCTCACACTGCCACAGGCCAGTATCTAGAAACCCTAAAGAGTTTGAAACAAACGGACAATGCTATAAAAATTGTCCACATAAAGGTGGTAACCCTTAAACAAGGGGATCAGTAAGTCAAAAACAAGTTTCCCGCTTGTCCCCAGAGAGTCAGTACAGCCAGGAGGGTCCAGTTGACCATCTTTCCCCTCATATATACGAAAGGCAAATGTATAGCCACTTTCGCTTTCGCACAGTTTGTAGAATTTTACGCCATACCTAAAGCACTTTGAGAGGATGTATTGTTTGAATCCTAATCTCCCTTTATATTTCATTAACGATTTATCAATAGATACATTTTTTTGAGGAGGATAAACTTCAGTAAATTTGTGCTGAAGATGGTCTACCAGTGGGTGTATTTTATGAAGCCTATCATATTGGGTGTGATCTCTGGGGTGACAGAGGGTATTGTCATTGAAATGTAAGTATCTCAGCAGCAGCTCAAATCTTGTTCTAGACATGGTTTGAGAGTACACTCGACTAGAACAGATTGGGTTGGTGCTCCAGTAAGAGCAAATTGATGGCTTCTTTATAATCCCCATGAGAATTGTAAGAGCCCAGAATTTTTTAAGTTCATCGACATCTGTGGGATGCCAAGCACACTCCTCCCTGACTGCATAGCTATCTGGATTGGTATCAATAAATTGGGTAGCATATAAATTAGTCTGGGGAGCAATCTCCTCCCACATGGTATCCCCTAAAAATAGCTCCATATATTGCATAGGGGAGAAGTCATCCACATTGACATTAATGCCTGTGTTGGCACTAAAAGGGGTGATTTGGGGCTCAGCTAACTGTGGAGAAACCTGTTCTTCCTCCACATTCGGCGTAGCAGAGAAAGCTCAGCTTCTTTTTGCAGCCGGCTCACACACAGATGACATGTCAGAAAACTGACCTGGGTCAAAATCTGACGCAGTGTCAGTGGCGTCAGAGTCTGGCTAACACAGAGTTACTACACACAATTTTTTTTTATTTTATACTAAAAACAGACTAAAACTGATAAAAACAGACTAAATGAGACTAAAACTTCTGTTAGCAGCAATCTGTAAACTAACTCCTGCAAAAAGAATCTAACTGGAGATTTGGGGGAAGGATACTGACTAACAGAAATTTGCTGCTTTCAAAATAAACAAAAAAAATAAATCAGGAACAAGTATTATAAAAATGTATTTTCTGTGTGGTAGACCTTAAAACATGCTCCAATACACAGTCCAGGTTTTGTAGGGCAATCGGGACAGTGAAAAGGGGTGTCTGTCCTTTTCCCTTTTTTATAACAGACCCGGCAACGTTTCTGGGGGTTTCTTTTTTTTGGTGTTGGCGGTATCTTAAAAATAAAATGTCTAGACGACTCTTGCACTGTCGTTGGAACTTGACCATCTCCATAAATTATTGTGGAAATCAGCTTGAGCTGAAATTGGAGATAGGTGGTTCTTCCTGGATTCATTTTTTTAAAAATTAAAAATGAATTATGTGTTGCTACTTGCAACAGGTAGATAGCCACCTTTTTATACCAGGCTTTTGTCTTTCTTAAGATAAGATATGGCTGCATCAGCTGATCAGCCAAATCAACACCCCCCATGTGCCTGTTATAAGCCCTGATGCACACCGGTTTTGTCTGTACCCTGCCTCGGACAGTGACGTCTGACATGCCCTCGTTATGGATGGTTGTTAGCATGTGAACATCCTTCCTGTCCTTAAATTTTAGCGCAAGCAGTTCAGCCTTGCGCAGAGCTTTGCATTCCCCTTTTTTTAATTTGGCCTCTATGAGAGGTCTGG